TTTAGGATTTATTTTTGGAAAACATTGAAAGGAGGTCTAGGAGGGGAAGAAGCAAGAGAACTAGGTGGAATTTCTAGGCTTACTTGTTTCACAGAGTTGGTCACAACTTTGATACCTAGGAGCAGTTACGATGTGCTTCGTGTACGTGTATTTTTGGTGTGCTTTGGAAACCTTGTATTTAGGCTGACATCTGTAATAAGAGAATGTGAAAGTTCCTAAACAAGGACTTAATAAAGCATTCCCAACCAAAGTGTCCGTCCTCTCTGCATAGAGGTACTTCAGACTGTGGTGGGACCATGTAGCCATTTTCTGCTCTCCAGGTAACGATGAGGAGCTCTGGGACAGCAGGTGCTTTGCAGATGTAAGCCGTTACATGTAAAACCTTGCCACGTGTCACACGTCTGAACAGGGGGCCTTGTGGGAGGTGGCAAAATGCACGAGTTGGGGGATGGAGAAAAGACGTCACCACACAGAGGGTAGCCCGTCTGTCTGCAAGACAGATGTGTGATGCATCACTGCCATGCATTAGACACGAAAAATAAAATAGGTGGTTTAGTAATGGCATGGTAGCTGTAAAAAGGTTCTGGACAAGTAACTCCTATCTTCTGTGAATGTCAGCCAGGCTGCTGCTTACCTGTCTGTGAAGGAGGGCAGTTTTGTCGTCGGTGTAGCTCAAATGGGCCACTCTGTTGATACAGCAGCCTCTATCTGTTAGGAGCTTGCCTTGAGACGAGACGAAGGATCCGAAACCTGAGATAAAAGTAATGTTTTTTTCTCATTTCACAGTCTCATCTCAAGGATATTCAAAGTGCATTTGTTTCAATTCTGTCAGACAGTGATGGTAAGTACTATCACTTTTTATGAGCTGTAGGTTTTTTGGTGGGCTTTTAGCAGAATGGAGGGAATCTTTGAACAGGCAGGAAGTCACCTACACCTTCCCTGTCAGTCGGCATTAAAAGACGACTGTAGAAACACCCCATTTCTGACGTGATAGGAATGATTTCTACGCATCGCATGTAGAGATGGGTTTAAATTGAAAGTGGGGAGATTTAGATTGGATATCAGGAGGAAGTTCTTCCTGGAGAGGGTGGTGAGGCACAGGAACAGGTTGCCCAGAGATGTTGTGGATGTCCCATCCCTGGAAGTGTTCAAGGCCAGGCTGAATGAGGCTTTGAGCAACCTGGTCTAGTGGAAGGTGTCCCTGCCGATGGCAGGGGGGTTGGAACTAGATGGTCTTTAAGGTCCCTTCCAACCCAAACCATCCTGTGACTTTGTAAGAAGCACAGCTATTTCTGTGCTTTGCTAACCAAGCACAAATCTGTTTCTGCATTTGCCCTTTAAGACCGTAATAACGAAAACCATTTAGTGGTGCTACTTCTGCTCCACTTTGGGCAGCGGGATGCATATCACAGAGTTCTGCATGGACAGGAACTCTAAGCCCTGTTTAAGCTAGATTTTGGCTTGTCAGTCTACCCATGGCAGCTAGTGGAAGGGGTGACATCCGGCAGCCTATCCAACGCTCACTGAAGTTCAAGAGAGTATGAGCATTAACTCTGCAGGACCTCAGGGGAACTTGGAACTTCCAAGTGTTCCACTTGGAACACTCTGCCATTTCAAAACCTGCAGTGATGGTATTGACGTGAAGATGTCTCCTGATTGGATGGGGGGGCGTATGCCTTCAGAATAAACTGCTGCTTCAGAATGCAAAGTTTGTGGCTTGCCAGACTAGATCTGCTCTGAAATGGAGACCTGTGAACTGCAGGTTGAATCTCGGTCATGTGTTACTTAATTACATGCTTATCTTTAACTTTACCGTAATCTCTTGCAGAGCTCAGTCAAGATGTTGCTTCAAAAGGTCTTGGGCTGATATATGAACTAGGAAGTGAACAGGATCAGCAAGAGCTAGTCACCACACTTGTTGATACCCTTATGACTGGGAAAAGGTACAGTGAGAAAGTACTCCGAGCTGTGTGTCTGATGGGAACAAAAATGGGCCTCTGGTGTGTGGAAAGAGATGTTTTGTGGCCAAGTACAGGCCAATATCCATATATTCCGAGTGGGTCAAACAGAGACATTTCTTTATTCAGCTTAGAGTTTGCTGCGGTTTAAGCTGTTGTAGTTTTGTTCCATTCAACACAGCTTCAAAATAATGGTTCAGTCCTGTTTTAAGCAGTTCAAATCAGTTGTGGTTTGGTTGGATTTCCTACTTGCTGCATTGTGTAATTGCAAAGGACAGTGACCTCTTGCAGCAACTCTGCACAGCGTGAATGGTGCAGAAGGGGAGACTTGATTGCGCCTGAAAAGTACCTTTTGTTGAGAAAGTGTTATTAATGGTCACTTGTCAGCTTTAGTGTGAAAAATGCAGGTCTTGGAGGACTCCTGGCTAGCAATTATGTCAGTCAGTGCTGGAAATGCTCTTTAGCAGCCTACTCCTGCCTAACCTGGTCGGGGTGTGGCCACTGTGAGTGACAGAAACCTAGCCTGGCAGTGTGGGTATCCAGTGGTGGTAAACACGAAGAGATTAGGTACATGGAAGCTGGGGTTTCTCGTTCGGAAGTAGAGATTTGCTGTCCACTGTATGGCTTGTGTCTGGGTGGAAATAAAAAGCCAGCATTCGGTGTTTTGACTTCTGACCTTCTGACTGCACAGCGAAACCCTCGCTTTCTGCAGCGTCTCCTCAACACTAGGTGTGATGCAGGTTAACGAGACCCCTTGCAGTGTGTGTGGCTTTGCACACCTGTAAGTTCATGTGGGATTGGAATGGAAAGTTACTAAGTGAATAAAGCAAAACAAATTAACTTCTTCTGTAGCATGTAGTCCGCTCGGGTGTAGAGTTTGGTAAAGCTAATACTGGCCCTCTTTTCTGCCAGAGCCAAACATGAGATGACTGGAGAAACCGTGGTGTTCCAGGGTGGCCTGAGCAAAACCCCAGATGGGTAAGTTTACTGACAGTCTCGATGACAGACACACAGTCAGTGTTGAAATAGTATTCCCTGGCTTATAAATCTGCTTCCTCAGCTGTTTGTTCCTTTGTGTCTCTGCATTACCATCACTATTTTCTTGGGATACAGATAGGTTATTCACTTCTCCCTGTCCACTTTAAGCTATGATTTGACTATAGCTTTAGCTAGTATGGCATTTGTGTAGATAAAACCAGTAACACTCATTTCCCTTCTGTTTTCCAAAGTCAAGGCCTTTCAACCTACAAGGAGCTTTGTTCCCTGGCTAGTGATCTCAATCAACCAGACCTGGTGTACAAATTCATGAATCTGGCCAACCACCATGCCATGTGGAATTCTCGGAAGGTAATTTGCTGCTTTCATACCACTTCCATTCCCACAGTGAACTCTGGAAATAATAACCGTGTTTCTCTAGCTCTCGTATGTGACCTATGGATAACTGCATGTGGAAGCCATTAGCTGATGCTTTGGTGTCAGGTCCAGTGCAAATTTACCAGCCTGGAAAACAAATTTAGGATTACTTGAAATTCTTACAACAAAACATTTGTATGACAGGGTTCATATCATCCTGCATTCCTCTCTGAATCAGCTGTGACCCTTTCCTTTTACTTACCAGTGTGCTTGGAGGTCAGGTCTTGTTGTGTTCACTGAAGTGTTTTCACAACTGCATGAATTTTAAGAAGCCAGAGAAAGTGACCTTTGTTATGTAAAAAGGCTGAGCAAAAAATATTCAGCAACAAGTTGCTAACAAGCCAGTTGATGATACACCAGTTTAATCACTGTTGTTAAAAGTATGCTTTTTCTACTGCTGGGACCTTTAGCAAAGCCAAAATACCATTGGGTCCACTTCCTGCCAAAAAAGGTAGCGTTGTAAATTTGAAGAGTGAAGTGTACTTTTCGTAGCTTTAACCTGGGGGCTTTTTCACTGGCTTTGCCTAAACATGGAAGAACTTGTTTTGCCCCTGGGAGCAGGCGGAGCACCTTCCGTGCGCTCTCATGCGGAAAGCCCGGGTAGCTGCATCTACTGTATTGCACCTTTCTTGCTTGGTACCTGAAGTTTTTGGTCTGTGGCAACACCTCTTTCTGCAAAAAACAAGCCCCAGCAGTAACTTCCATCCAGAGTTTGACACGTCAGCATGTCTCTTGGGACTTCCCTCTCTTGGCACTGGGACATCAGAAGCACGGGAGCGTAGTTAGGTTCCTGACCCCTGTGGAATTTCAACAGCCAGGATGAATCCAGCAAATCCACTCAGCAGGTGTGGGTTGAGCTTTGGCATTTGAGGAATTTGCAGAATTATTTCAGTTGAAGGGGGCATCTGGAAGTCTCTGTGTTCCAAACCTTCACACAAGAGCTAGACAGAGCAAGCTTCTCAGGGCCTTGCAGGTGATGCCTCCCTTTTCCTTATACTTTAGCCGCCTCTTGCTCCTCACAGCAGTGGTCCTTACTGAGAGTGTGCCTTTATTGCTCTTCCCTTTGTAAACTAACCGAGGCAGCACATCCTGTCCCGTGAAATCCCTGTGACATTTTGAGTGGCAGCTTTTGACACCTGACGTTGGGAAACATGAAGTGGTTAGGGGCAGTCACTGCACTGCCTGTATTAAGCAATTTCTTTTGATCCTGCCAGATCCTGTGGGACTCCGTGGGCAGGCATCAGTTCCACTGTGTTAGCACTGACAGTGGAATTGACAGTGTTGAAGAAAGAGAAGAGTAGGGAAGGACACTTGAGTTTAAAGTAGATATGGACAGATGCAAAATGGTATTTTCAGAATATCAGAAATTTCAGGTTGTAAATAAAAAAAACCTCTACGACGGTTTTTCAGTTCCTAAGTTATTCTGGTTTTTCTAAATGCAGCAGAGTTGTAGGGAAGCAGTGGCCCACCCTATCCAGTTTTTCCAAAAAAGAATCTTTCAGAAGAACGTACTCAAATCTTTGTAGTTTTACTTCTCCACCACCCCTTTTGAAGTGACTGTTGGAGGGAAGGAGGTACTGAAGCAGTATGTGGTCTGCTGAGTGCGACGGTGTGCTTGAGATGGCACTGGTACTGTAGCGCTGAAGGGGGGCTAACTCCGGTACCATTCCAGACCTTTTGATGTGGTCTGCATCTAAACTGTGTCAGTCCGTTTTGCCACTGGCTGTGGTGTTCCCAGGAGCAGTAACTGAGTGAGTGACAGACTGTATCAACAAATACTCTCTCGTCATCATTTCAGGGAGCAGCTTTTGGTTTCAACATGATAGCTGCCAAGGCTGGAGAGCAGCTAGCTCCTTTTTTGCCCCAGCTTCTTCCCCGTCTCTACCGTTACCAGTTTGACCCCAACCTGGGCATCCGACAGGCGATGACCAGCATTTGGAACGCCTTGGTCACCGACAAGTCAATGGTGAGTGAGCAGCAGAGTGCAGTGTGGTTTTGCTGCTAGGCAGCGGCATCTCGGAGATCCTCACGGGACAGTTGCATCTTGTGAAGAGAGGGGCTGTGCAGGAAGGGGTGAGGTCCTGTCCTACAGAGAGAGGTGCTGGGATCCATGGATGAGCTGGAGGATGCACAGAGTTATTGCACTGCCTCTTAGGTGTGAAAAGATACCACCGACCTTGTTTGTGTGGCCAGTGTCAAAGTCTGTGATTGACTTTCAGTCTTCCCACACTTCAACGCTGCTTTGATACTGCTTATGAGAAGCAGTTCAGGAATCCTCTGGCCTGAGATGCCCTTACTGGAGCAAGAGCATCTAAAGCCTGTGGGAAGAGGCTGATCCATTGGTTTGAGGGTGACTCCTCCCAGTCAAGTCTCAGTTTTCAGTGATTTTTCGTGAGGTGCCCTTGCTGTGGCTCTGAGAGGGCTGGAACTGAGCAGGCAAATCTCTTCTCCTAGCAAAACTGATCTTTGTGAAGGTGAAGTCATTCCCTCTGATCCCTCAGCAAAGCTCAGCTGCTTCTCCTGTGAATACGTGTTGGTGCTGCATCTGAGCAGGGCAGTTGTTAACAGATTGAGGGACTTGGCTCTTTTCTCTCCCTCTCTGCCACAGCGTTAAGCCCTGAAGCAGTGCAGAGAAAGGCACATGGGAAGCAAAACCAGGGCGAGATTGTGTGAGGTCAGCTCTGGCAGGCATTAGTTCATCTCCTTTGGCTGAAAGCAGGTTATAGTGTCCAAAAGGACCCCCTTTTTTTTTTTTTTTCCAGAGTACAGGACAAGGGTGCATGGTCCATGCTTGTTTCATGATATTTCCTTTTTTTAATAATAGGTTGATAAGTACATGAAGGAAATTCTTGAAGATTTGATCAGTAACCTAACCAGCAGTCTGTGGAGGATCAGGGAATCCAGGTATTGCTAGGAAAAGCAACAGATTTTTCTTTTAACTCGCTTCTTTTCTCCACCATAAATGCATTAACCTGAAGCAGTTGAGGGGGCAGAGAGGGCACGTCCTTTCATCAGTCTTGTGGTCTGTGCTTGCAGTGTGATACAGTCTTGAAGCTGTTGGCTTCACTGAGCATCAAATTTTGTATTGCATGTAGCTTGAGCATGATACTGAGCAATGTTCTCTGAAGGAGTTTTCTGGTTACGAAGTTCTTGGCTATCCTTGGGCCTGAAAGACTGCTTAAGCTGATGTTAGAAAATACTGGCAGCCAGGCTATAAACATACTTGGCAGCAGGATGCTGGTTGGTATAGCATCTCTAATAAACTGCTTTTTGTTTATAATGGTTTGTAGTTATGCTGTATTGAAAACTTCCATTTTAATTTCAGTTCCAGACCATTTTGTTTTGTTCTTATCCTGTATTTACAGAAAATTCAGATTTACCGTAACCATTTTGTAACTACAATTTTCACTACAGCAGCCTTCATCACTTGCTGTCACCTGTTTCAGGTTTCACCTGACTGGTTGAACTCTTTTTTTCTCTGCTAAGAGAGATGTTCTTATGACAATAGACTTAGGGTTTGGGGAAAATAAAGAATGTGAAACAGTTTTCAGGTTTTTTAACCATTTACTCATATTTATAAACATATCTGTATATACACCTATATCGAATAAGTACACCATGTGAAGGAAATAAAATTCCTTACTTGCAGCTGTCTGGCACTGAATGACTTACTGAGAGGAAGACCTTTGGATGACATTATAGACAAGCTTCCAGAGATCTGGGAAATCCTATTTAGAGTACAAGATGACATTAAGGTAATGGAACTGATAATTGAACAGGAATCTCCAACAGAAAGTAGAGTGATCGAGCCCCAAGATGTTTAAAGGGGGATTCTCTGAGAAGTCGTGTTGAAGCCAAGTGCAGTTTTGGGTATTAAGCAGCCTAGAATTTCAGGCCTCCTGCAGTTAAAATTTCCATGCTGCCTTGGAAATTCTTTATGTATGTTTCTTGTGTTTTTTAAGTGTTGGGTTTCATTCCTACTGTGCTTATTCTTGATGGTTCAGCATTTTTCCTGGATATAAAAGAGTTCCTAAGTATTTGCTTAACTCTTGAGTATAGAAACGTTTATTTTGGGCTGCTTGTCTGCTTAAATGATTTGCATATATGAAGTCAAAGTTCTCGAGTCCTTCCAGGTTTGAGCCGTGTTCTCCCTGGACCCAAACTTCTCTGCACAAGCTTAAGCAAGCCTGAGCTGTTTTCCAAAGTGTACTGTGTACCAGGAAGTTGCTTCTGTAGTAGTAGATGTAGTATGTTCAGAAACAATCCTGGGCACTGAAACCAACTGAGTGGTTTTGCCTCAGTGCTAGTGAGCTGTGTTAGCCTCCAAAATACAGCAGTTGCCTGCAAACTGCCTTTTGGGAGGGGTCAAATTCCTGATTTTACTTGGAAAAGGTTTGAGAAGGTCTGCATGTAGCAGGCCAGAGTTTTTACAAGAACATCCTAAGACATTACCAGTCCAGGTGATTATATACCCAGCAATATTGCTAGATATTAATTCATCAATCCAAGTGAAGGTAGAGTCTGGTTGTTGGCGGTGTCACGTGCCACCAGAGCTGCGCTAATTTTACTGTTTGCTTTCAGTGCCTCTTTCTCCAGTCCTAGATGTTCAGTTGAGTAAAGCATCACTGAGCAACAGGCATTATATTGAGGAGAGGGTAAAGCATATCCAAAGAACTCCATACTTTCTGCGGTAGAAGGTTCTATTGGGTTTTTTTGGGTTTGGCTTTGAGTTTTATTGTTTGTTTCAGCATTTGTTTTGCTTTTTTTGTTGTTGTTGTTGGTTTCTTTGTTTTGAAAAGGATGACCAGTAAAATAATCTGAGACAAATGTGAACAGAAGCACAGAGAATCTGGTGGTGTCAGGCAGGATTGTTAATGTGTTTGTCATTGAGTGTGCCAGATACTTAGATGGGCCAAAGCCAAAATTTATTTGAAAGATACTATATTAAGTATTAGCCATGAATATAGCCTTGTCAGTACTAGTGTTATACTTACCAATTAATGTGAATCTTTTTATAGAACATTTAAAAATACCGAGAATGGATTTTTGACTTCTTTTTCAGGAGACTGTGCGGAAGGCAGCAGAACTAGCTCTGAAAACTTTAAGCAAGGTAAGTTTTTGTCAGTTGCACAGGGTGATGTCTATGGTTTTTGATCTCAGGTAATTCACTGTCATACCTGTTTACCATAGGCTGTGGTCTTGAAAGGTTCTCTGGTGTAAGTTGCAGTTGTGAACAGAACAGCCCCCTAGAAAGCAACCATGATAAGCTCGACCACATACTCCTCTGTACTTCTGTTGATGCTGGTGAAGTTCTGCTGCTTGACAGTAATGCCATGTTAAGCTCTATACAACCAAAGGAGGGACATGACGAGCTGGTTTGTTCCTCTGGTGTCCTTTTTTCCCCATTTGGAGGCAAGTTTTAAGGAAACTTCCTGTAACCTGAGCAGCTAACCAAGCCCAGCTGATCCAGTAGACCAAGGCCAGTGGAACCTCGCTGTTGTGAAACAAAGTAATCCAGTATGGACTGCATCCTCTGGTGCTGTTACTGACACGAGTTCTTTGGGTAGTACATGTGTTAGCATTAATACATATTAGTATTTGGTTTGGTATTCCTCTAAAAGCCACATCAGTGGAAATGGATCTTAGGAGCTGCGTTTGAAATTGCAACCTTCACAACGCATGCGGCATGACGCTTCCGTGGCACCAGTGGTGATCGGGTCCCAGAACGTTGTTGCAGCCACAGGATCTGTTCTGACGTGAGACTTGATGCTCTGCCTCGGGGCATGGTTGAATCCATGTGGCTGAGATAGGCTGTCCCTCAGCTGAGAGGTCATTTGGTCCAGCTCTTCATTCAGATGCCATTGAAGACCTGCTGGGCTCCGAATTTGCCTTTTCTGGAAGCTGAACGTAGCCGAAACTCCTTCTAGGGATGTAGCTTAGGGCTTAAGTGCCTCCTGGAGAGGAGGACGAAAGTGTAACAGGGCCTGGGTTTGGTGGTGAGCTCTCATGGCTGTTGACTCCTCCCGTCTGATGGAGCAGGTGCTTGTCGTCTGAGCAGGAGGTCTGTACATGCTTGTGACACTGATTCTCACCTGTCCCCAGGTCTGTGTGAAAATGTGTGATCCCTCCAAAGGAGCAGCGGGTCAGAAGATGATAGCTGTGTTGCTCCCATGCCTCCTAGACAAAGGAATAGTAAGCACAGTTGCTGAAGTCCGATCTCTCAGGTTAGTTTTGCATCGTGTAGATTCCCTGGGGGTCGGGTCACGGTTTGTCCCCAAGAGAAGCAGCTGACTCACCTGATTTGCAGAATGTTCTTTGTGTTTGAAGTGCTAAGTTTCTCCTCAAAACAGCCTTCCTGCATGGACCACCAGCCCCGGGAACTCTGCCTGTCTTCTGGGGGTATCTGGCCTTGTATCTCCTTGTACAGCTGGCAGAGTGATCTGCAAGCGGTTTGCTGCACTTGAGGCTCTCCTTGGGGACTGGCACTTCTGCTTGTAAACAAAAAAAATCCCACGGTGGTTCTTGAAACAGCCAGGTCTTATTTCGTGACTGGTTGTGAGTAATGGCAGCTCATATCCCAGAGGCAATTGCGTTTGGTCACACTGTTCAAATACGTTTTGTGTCACGTAACGGTTCTATGTCCCTTGGTGTGTAGGAACTTCATGTGCTTGTCACTTTGTAACCTTGTTTATTCCTTCATTTGCTAGAGTGACAGGCTGAAAAAATCAGACCTGGAATGTAGCTGGTCTTTGCAGAAATAATTGTCTCTTACTGAACATGATTATCCAGGAAGGTTAGAAAGTTCCTGACAAATTAGAGTGAATATTTCTTGAATTTTTTCGTCCCTTTTGAAGAAATGAAACCCCTTTATCAAAATGCAGCCTGAGAGGTGTGGTCAGTCTGAAACTGGCAAGTGGGATTTGAACAGAACATTTTAACTGGGTTTTGTTTTTTTCCTTGGGCAGAGACAATGGATGTCTCTGGGCTTACTTTGCCCACAGCTTCTTCAAAACAGGAAGATGTGTTACGTTTTCTTACATCTGCCTGTAGTGCTGCCTCTTTGCCCATTCCCTCTGCGATACCCTGGCCAAAGTAACGACTCTCTGTGCAAAGCACAGCATCAGTCAGGGGCTCAGGGCTATAGGGTATGATTTTCCTTAAGCTGGAGCAAAATACACAGATTTCTGCTTGCAGGTAGATTTATATTGGTATATCCGAGATTTGGGCTGGATTTTTTGTTGGTAAAGGATTAAAGTAGACCTGAGAGTTTTTTCACCTAAGTTTGTGTGTTTCTCTGACCTTTCAATTCATCTTCTTCCAGCATTAACACTCTCGTGAAGATCAGTAAAAGTGCTGGGTCTATGCTGAAACCTCATGCACCAAAACTTATCCCAGCGCTGCTGGAATCCTTGAGTGTGCTGGAGCCTCAAGTCCTCAATTATTTGAGTCTTACTGCGACAGATCAGGAGAAAGTAAGTTCAGTTATAATGGGAAAGTATCAAGACAGCAGAGGTAGCAAAGATTAAACCTTCATTCAATGAACAGAAAAATATCCGTTGTGGTTGGTAGGTGTTCAGAGATGCAAAGAAACAGCTGATAAGTTACTAAAAAAGTTTAGTCATTGGAATATGGCTGGACAGATGTGGGGAGTTTTTTTGAAGGGTTGGGATTTCTTTTATTCACTGGGCCACCACGTATTTCTGAAAGCGAGGAACAGTCCTAGTAAGAACGGCTGTTAAATATCACTTCAGCTCCATGTACGACTGTGAAAGAGGTGAAGAGAGTCTAATCGTTATCTGGAATGCACCTGTGCTGTGAAACTTTGCCGCTGTGTTTCCCAGGGGATTAACTGCAGGACTTCCTAACACAAATCAAAAGGTGTGCCATAGCACTGTGGGCTGGAGGTGGATGCGGTCAGCACAGAGTCCTTTAATCCCTCTCAAAGAATTAATCAGTTGTGGTCTTCTGGGAAAGTGACTGAACCCCACTCTTCAGAAGAAAATTTAACTAATTTCATTGTAGGGAGGGAAAGGGGTCAGTCTCTGCCCTTTGCAAGTGAGAAAGGAGTGAAATAGGTCAGAATGGGATTCTTCTCTTTTTTCTTTTTCTCTTTTTTCCATTTTTTTGGGGGAGTTTTCTGTTTGTTTGGTCGTTTTTGTCCCCACAGTGCCTGGAGTGCGTGGTTTAGCTTCTGTACTCCAGCTAGAACATCCACCTGCCTTTGCAAGGGAGACACTCATGGTCTGTGGATGTAATTACTTTCTGTCTGTGTGCATCTGAAATGGATTTTGGTTCGAGTTTGTGAGATAGGGAGTAACAGCTGAGGTTGCCCTTTCCACTGTTTGCATGTTGAGTTTACACTTGGTTTTCCTGATTTTTTTCAGACTGCAATGGACAGTGCCAGACTCAGTGCTGTCAAGTCATCTCCCATGATGGAAACCATTAACATGGTAAGTACTCGATTTCCAAGGAGTCCGCCTAAGGTGTGCTGTACGAAAAGAATAGGAATCAGATTGGGAGCTTTACAGAATACCTCTCCAGGGTTCATTTTACCATCACATCTCCACGTGGATGTCTGTCCACCGTCTTTTTCACATACTGACTTCTGTCACCCTGTTGCCACTGCTTGCTCCTCAGGTCAGTTGTGAATAACCTTGGCTCTGTTTGGAGTCAGATGGATTGTTTCTCCGCCTGAGGACGTACCTGCTTTGATGAAGAGGGCAGCTTTCAAGTGCTTTTATTTGGATGGGGGCTCAGCTGATTATGCTATTTCTCTCCATCTCTGGCCCACTCTTCTACAGTCAGCTTCTCACCTGGGCTCCAACTGATGATAGTCATTGTTCTTAGGGCACAAACGCTGTCCAGGCCTTGCCTCGTGGTGCCTTAGGTATCCTTACCTGGGCTTTGCCAGCACTTTGGAGATGAAAATTTGGAGTGCTGATAGCACTGAAAGCACTGTTAGCAGCTGGTGTTTGGCACCATAATTTCCTGCTGCTGGAGGAGGAATTGCTGACACCCAGGCAGTGTTCTGTAGGGACTTTTTTGGCAGAGCTGCCTGTCCCTTCCCAAAGAAAAGACACCTTTTTCCTGCTTAGGCACTGCACGCAGCCAGGGACATGCAAGCAGGCAGCGGGTGTGAGTGCTGAGCAAGGTTGAGGAGAAGCAGAGCCACCAGAGCTATTCTTTGTGTCCTGTGCTTATGGAACACCAGCAAGGCCTGTCGTACACAACAGCATGTGGAGGTGCCTTTTGGTGTCAGGTGGAGCACGCGCTATAAATAGTGTGTGAAGCAGCTGGGGAGGAAAGGTTCCGTGTGAAAGTGCATTCAGTGCCACCCCGCAGGCTGCAGCAGCTGCGGCTGTCTCTCCTCCAGGCCATGCCTCTCCCCTGCCAGCCTGCGGGACGATCCTCATAGTGCCCTGATCACTGCTTGGCGTTTCCTTGGGGAGAGGAGAGAGTATGGCTTCCCTGGAGTAGCGTGAAGAGATCCTGGCTTTTGAGCAACCTTCTCCCTATACCTCTGTATTCTGGGGCTGGCTGGGAGATTATATCCTTGGATGGGATATAATGGATTATTCCCTTCACCATACCAGTGCAGGAGAGGGGAGCGACAGGAGATCCGACTTCTGAAGCTCAGAGAGGGTTACCTTCAGTTAGTGTGCGATCCTTGAATTTGCTGGAGGGTGGATCTCCCCTCTGCAGGCCACGTCCTGCACAGAGTGCTGGTGATGTGAGGCTTTCTGTTATGCCCAGTGGAGTTTTAGGCACAGACCAGAAACGACACCAGTAACACCCCTCTTGTACCTTCGTCATTTATTCCACTTGTTTGTCTTGACCTGCCTAAAAAACTGTCTTGACTAGTCTTATTGTCTGGTTTGATTATGCTACTGCTTCAGGGTTTCAGACAGTTGGGGAGATACTGGGGTTTGTCCTGAAAGGCACACGCCTTTGCATCCCTTTTCCCTCCCCAAAAGGAGTTCTTCCTAGTGCATTCCTTTCGGCTTTCTGAACAGCCGGACTGCACGGTTCATCAGTTCCAGCAGGTGATAACTTCAGCAGAGTAAGCCCAGCGTGGAAGTGGGATGAGAGAGTCTGTACGTGGTAGAAGACGCTCTGTGGTGCCTTTTTTCCACCACGCAGCAAACTCTCTGATTCAGCTGAAGACCAGCCTGCAGAACTGAGGCAGGCCTCAGCTGGAAGTAGACCCGCTGGAGTCTGCTGCCATTGCTTTTCTTTTTTCTCCCCCCCTTGCCCCTCCCTTGGCTTTCCCTAGAGCCTGCAGTATTTGGATGTGTCTGTCCTGGGTGAGCTGGTTCCTCGGCTGTGCGAACTGATCAAAAGTGGCGTAGGCCTCGGCACGAAGGTATGTGGAAATGGAGAAGGGCCCACAGTGCAGTGTGGATGTAAACACGGTTCATTTGACTGCCTCTTCTTAAAGTGGCAGCTTGGGCTCAGTCACACTGGAGTCACTTTACATCTGAATCTCAATCCACCTACGCTACCTGTGGGCCTGGATCATGCCATACAGCTGTAGGTAGCACCACAGCAAGTGTTAACGGCAGTCGCCGGGAGCTAATACTGTCTTATCTTACCTTTGTTTTCCCTTGCAATCTTCCAGGGAGGCTGTGCCAGTGTAATCGTGTCATTAACCACACAGTGTCCTCAGGACTTAACACCTTATTCAGGTAAGGTTTGTTTCTAGTGTCAGGTTTTAAACTAAAATGCTGTCAGTTGCTGTTCTATAGGTAAGTTGAACTTTCCCTGGGTCTTAGTCTTTTCTGTACAGCTTATGATGATTTGATAGTACAGCGAAGGCCACCTTTCTGTTGCCAAACAGAAGTAAAGCCAAAAGCGTGAGCAGCTGTGGTGCTTTTCAGTCGAGGTGCGCAGGCTGTGACTGGCAGAGCTCCAGCTTCTGCTGAGCCGTGCTGTGCTGTGTGCTCGTTTAAACGCAAGGACAGCCCAGCAGGCACGACGAGGAAGAACGCATCAATTCGGACAGCCTAATGAAACGCAGGCTATTGTAGTTCTTGCCACAGCAGTAAAAACATACGTCTGGTGACGTGTAGTCTCGTCCAACAGGCAAACTTATGAGTGCTTTGCTCAGTGGGCTGACCGACCGCAACAGCGTGGTGCAGAAGTCCTTCGCCTTTGCGATGGGGCATCTAGTGCGGGTGAGTTGGGGTTTGAGACGGTTTTAGGTTTTTATTTTCTTTTTGGAATGTTTGAGTGATTTGAGTCTCTTCCCTGTTCCAGACCTCCCGGGACAGCAGCACCGAGAAGCTGCTGCACAAACTCAGCAGCTGGTACATGGAGAAGGAAGGTATGTTGCTTTTCGGGTGTTCTGTTACAGTGTACAGAGCAGAAAAAGCTGCCACAAAACACTTGTGTACTGTGATGCTTGGTTTCACTGCCTGAATAATTCCCATGCATTATTAGACAATACTTTGCATTCCTCTGTTTCCCAAGAGGCAAAAAAAATCCTGCTTCCCGGTCATAACGTGTGATTGTTTTGCCGCTTCAGAGCCGGTTTACAGGACAGGCTGTGCTTTAACTGTGCATGCTATGGGACGCTACAGCCCGGACGTAGTGAAGAACCATGCCAAGCACATGCTGCCGTTGGCATTTCTTGGCATGCATGAGGTTCCCGATGAAGAGAAAGGGGAGAAAGAGAATTCCGCTCTGTGGACGGAAGTTTGGCAGGAAAATGTTCCTGGTAAGTTGGGTTAAGAGTGGTAAAAGCTTTCTGGGAAGCATGGGGCAAGAAACATCATGCTTTCTGAGGATCCATTTGGGAAATATGGCATTTTTGTGGTAAGAGGTTTGGGAACCTTGTGTTTTCATGTCCTTGCTAAAGATGTCCTGCATGAGTTTCAGGGGATTAGCTTCTCTGTGCCTGTTGGAAGTAATTACAGAGATGTTGATCACTGCGGGTACACAGACACAGTCAGGAGAAGTGTTGTAAGGTTGTCAGGCACTGAACACCATGTAACATGGCACGGATCATGGCACTGATAGCTGGATGACTTCGGAGTGTTGATGCCAGCCTTTAAGGGCTGCTGCACACTCTGAAGGTACTTTGGCCTGTGCCTCAGGTTGGAGATCTCTCTGGCATGCCGTCAGTTTTGACTTCAGTGGATGAATCCACACTATGGAAGGGCTGTTTTGCCATGGTTCTGTCCGTGGAGGGACATCTGGTTGCACAGTGAAATGGTTTTGCTGGCAGCTTCTCTGGCCTGATTTCAGATCTTGTCCCTCCATCACCAGGTTACTTTTCTGGAGGTGGGAAAGGAGCTGCAGAAATCATAGAACCATAGAACGGTTTGGGTTGGAAGGGACCTTAAAGACCATCTAGTTCCACCCCCCCTG